CAAACGTGACTCCCTACTTGCCGGTTTCACGTACCCTTCAACGTCGATGAGCATGCCACGTCGTCATTCTCGAACTCATGGACATCCCAGTAGCACTGCCGCACCTTCTGATTCACTTAATCCTTCTCGCAGTGTCACTGATTTCACTGAGTCTACTGCTTGGCCTTCTCTTCGACATGCAGGATCCAGTGACCAAACCTCTCACTACGGGTACTCGACAGCGGCTCCGTCAACACCCCTTCCCGCTCCTGCCGATCATCAGACTCCGATCCCTCCAAGACGTGAAGAAGCGTATCCACTTCAGATTGAAATGGCAGAGACCCGTCGCCAGCTTCATGCCCACTACTTCACCGAAGTTCGAACACCTCAAGCCGATAACTCCCATCCAGAGCTTCGCCGCCTTATGGTGACGGAAGTGGATCGGTATGGGGTACATCGAAACAGGCAACCGGAGTTCTTCTTCAACGGGATCATTGGTCACATCCGTGCTGATCAAAACGGATGGATCGACTCTTGGGAACAAGCCACCCAACTAGCCAACTACTGGCGTCGGCATTTCCAAATTCCTGAAGTGCACCCTGATGGAAATTGGTATCAATACCCGCAAGAGTCCAACAGCGCGAACCAAGCGGGAGAAAGCCAAGAATCCCTGCCGGGATCTGATATGGAAGACACGGACTCCCTCATTGTCTATATGCAGCATCCGCATCGGCACCGAGTCAGATCCACCAGCTGGCCACCATTCTTTGGAACATTCTCAACAATGACCGAGGGGCCAACCTGGCCATTCTCGAGAAATTGGAGAACCCAGCAAACGATCCGATCCAGGTCTTTTCGGCAGCAGACTTGGCTCACCTTGCTAGCCACTTGGCACAGACCACTCGCGACCTGTCGCATCAAGCTCAACAAATGGAGGCGCTCTCCGACATCAGCGATTGAGTCTGACTACTCCGGGCTGAAGGTGTTCTGAGCAACTCGGATAATTCAGCTGCAGGTTTCTTCCCTGTATTTTGATCTCGCGTTAATCGCTACATCCTGCCTCATGAGCTTCGCAGGTCCAAATAAGAGCTTCGCTACCAATCCCGCAGTTGCCAAAAAACAGCCTCGCGGCAGCGAGGCGTGTGTGTGGAACATCTGAAAAGATGTAAACTTCTAACTTGCATGTTCGGTTTTTTGAGAACTTCGTTTTGATATTAGTTTTCAAACTGTCACAGCAGGGGGGCAATCTCATGTTTGCAGCTGATTGCCCAACGAAGAGGGCTGCATTCATGACTGATATGACTCTGGGACGCTGGAGTCACGTACCTGCTTTTTCAATTTTGTCGTCAATGGCAACCGGCTAAGCCAAGTACCGGCATGTCGGTTTTCCAACTTTTTTCGAACCAAACCACTGTACGGTTTTCGCAATTTGAATTACTGCTGACATCGTCAGGTGGAACAGTTGCATCTAGCAAGGACGTAGAAAGAATTCTTCTTCACTGTTTCTCACGCCTAGTCATTCACTTTCTCCTGTCAGGTTTAACTGAAGTGTTTTTGCACGTGCGATGCATTCCACATCAGTAATTCGATAAGATGTTTCTGAGCAAGTGTGTGTGTAGTCTAGCGTGGTGTAGTGTAATGTAGTGTAATTGGATTTCTAGTTGTACTGTACTGCGGTGTAAGTAGTGTAGTAGTGTAATGTAGCGTATTTAGTTGTAATTGTAGCTGCAGCTGTGGTAGTAGCGCTGGTAGCAGTAGTAGTAGTTGTTGTTGTAGCAGTACCAGTACCAGTACCAGTACCAGTACCAGTACCAGTACCAGTAGCAGTAGCAGTAGCAGTAGTAGTAGTAGTAGTAGTAGGAGTAGACTAGTAGTAGACTAGTAGTAGTATAGTAGTAGTATAGTAGTAGTATAGTAGTAGTATAGTAGTAGTATAGTAGTAGTATAGTAGTAGTATAGTAGTAGTATAGTAGTAGTATAATAGTAGTATAGTAGTAGTATAGTAGTAGTATAGTAGTAGTATAGTAGTAGTATAGTAGTAGTATAGTAGTAGTATAGTAGTAGTATAGTAGTAGTATAGTAGTAGTATAGTAGTAGTAGTAGTAGTAGTAGTAGTAGTAGTAGTAGTAGTAGTAGTAGTAGCGTAGTGCTAGTTGCAGTTGCAGTTGCAGTGGTAGTTGTAGTTGCATTTGTTTATCTATCTATCTATCTATCTATCTATCTATCTATCTATCTATCTATCTATCTATCTATCACCTGCAAGCTTGAAAGCGAAGCTATTCCGCAAGGCTTCCTCCATTTTCGAAGGTGGCGGCATGAAAAACGAAACAATTCTGCGAGACATCCTTCAATAATGGAAAGTTGAGTGCAGAGCTGACGGCCTTGTGCCAATGCGTTTTGCGATTTTTCCGCTCCATGTCTCTATAAAGTATTGCGCCTGCCACGAAAAAGTGATGCCAGGTCATACGAAGTGTTGCACCTGTCACACAAAATCACCTTAGCAAATCTGAAGATCTGATGCTCCAAAATGCACCCCGTCTCAGGAAATCAGCACCCTGACCTTAACATCTCTGATGAACATGTCTCTTGTACTGCGCGTGCCAGGCAAAATGCATCTTTGCAGATCCTCTTCAAATGCCCCACATTTTTGGAAATGCTACAAAACCCTCACGTTTTGCTTGGTGCGCAGTCCCTCGCCTGCCACGCAAAACGACACCTGAACGTCCAGAAATGCTCCGTACCTGTACCTGTCAGTTTTTCACGCTTTTGGCTTGGGAATGTGCTTCGCGCCACAACGGCGTGCACTTTTTCGACACCCCAACTTCCAAAAGTTGTCCGAGACCGTCAGTTTTCAACACTTTTGACTTCGAAATGTGCTTTGCGCCACAACGGTTAGCATTTTTTCGACATTTCAACTTCCAAAGTGGTCCAGGAATGGTGTGCTTTGTACATTTTGACTTCAAAATGTGCTTCGCACCATAGCGTGCAATTTTTCATCTCTCATCTGGCCAGATGGCTCCGCACCCGCCGCTTTAGCGAGCCTACTTTTCGACCCAGTGCCACAAATCAGTCGAAAAACACAGCGAGTCGCAACTATTCTACCTTTTCGCGCGCCTTCATCATCTTTCTTCTCTGGTCTTCTCTCTTCTTCTCTTCTCTTCTCTTCTCTGACTCTGCACACCTCTGCTTCTCCATGTGTCCGTATTGTCCGGAGTTTGACCTCTAAACTTCCTTCGATCAGTGTATGGACGTATCCATGCATGATTATTTCTGTGTGATTATGCATGATTGCGAGAGGTTGTGGGTGCTTATGCATGCACGCATGCATGACAGTCACTTGATATATTTTTTCCAGTAGTACCACGCAAAGGGGTGGCGGAAGTTTCAAAGATAGGACACTATAGAGGCGGTGAGCTGTTGTGATGCATGGATGGCAGAGCGAATCCACTGATGGACCAAAAGGTGGTTGGAGTTTTTTTTTTTGGAGTGGTTGCCCAGTGGGTGCAATGGTTGCAGTGGTCACCTACCCACAACTGCTGGATGTAGTGGGGTGTAGTGCAGCTATAGTTCTAGTTGTAGCGTAATGTGATTAGTGTGGTGCAGTTGTAGTTGTAGTGTGGTGTCATGAGTGTGGTGCAATGTAAAGTAGTGAAGTGTAGTGTGCTGTAGTGTTGCGTGCTGTAGTGTAGTCTAGTCTAGCCTAGTGTAGTGTAGTGCAGTGTAGTGTAGCGCAATGTAGTGTAGTTGTCGTTGTCGCTGTCGTTGTCCTTCTAGTTGTCGTTGTAGTTGTACTTGTAGTTAGTGCAGTGCAGTTTGGTGTGGTGTGGAGTAGTGTAGTGTTGTGTAGTGTAATATAGTGCAGTGTAGTGTAGTGCAGTGTAATGTAATTAGCGCAGTCTAATGTACAGTAATTGGTGTATTGTGATGTAATTAGCGTAGTGTAGTGTGATGTAGTGTAGTTGTAGTTGTAAATGTTGCTGTAGTTGTAGTGAAGTGTAGTGTAGTGTAATTGAGTGTAGTGTAGTGTAGTGTAATGTAGTGTAATGTAGTGTTGTTGTAGCTGTAGATGTAGTTGTAGTGGAATGGAATGGAGTGGAGTGGAGGAGTGGAGTGTAGTGTAGTCTAATTAGCGTAGTGTAGCGTAATGTAGTGTAGTTGTAGCTGTAGTTGTACTTGTAGCGTAGCGGAGTGGAGTGGAGTGTTGTGTAGTGTAGTGTAATCTAGTCTAGTGTAGTGTCGTGTGGTGTAGTGTAGCGTAGTGGTGGTTATAGCTGAAGCTGCTACAGAACATTCACGTTTTGCTCACTTTTGACACGGTGCACAATCCCTTGCGCCTGCCACACGAAACGGCATCTGAACGTCCAAAAATATCCAAAAATGCTCCGTACCTGTGTTTTTTGCACTTTTGACTTGGAAATGTGCTTCGCGCCACAACGGCATGCACTTTTTCGACATCTCAACTTCCAAAAGCGGTCCGAGACCGTCAGTTTTCAACACTTTTGACTTCGAAATGTGCTTTGCGCCACAACGGCGTGCACTTTTTCGACAGCTCAACTTCCAAAAGCGGTCCGACACTGAGGTGCTTTGTGCATTTTGACTTGGACATGTGCTTCGCGCCGCAACGGCGTGCGCTTTTTTGACATCGCAACTTCCAAAAGTGGTCTTGTACGTTTTGACTTCAAAATGTGCTTCGCGCCACAGCATGCAATTTTTCATCTCTCATCTGGCCAGATGGCTCCGCACCCGCCGCTTTAGCGAGCCTACTTTTCGACCCTCCGGAGCCACAAATCACAAATCAGTGGAAAAACAGAGTGAATCACGACTTTTCTACCTTTTGGCGCGCCTTCTTTCTTCTGACTCTTTCTCTGATCTTCTCTCTTCTGCTCTTCTCTTCTTTTCCATCTGTCCATATTGTCGTAAGTTGACTTCTAAGACTTTCTTCGATGAGCAAAAATAGATAATTACATGTGTGTTTTCGCATCTCCAAGATGATTACACCGCTACACCATGTTACACCTAAG